TATTTAACGCAAGACTTGAGTTACACATCTCTACGTTAATGTGGGCGTTATATTTCAGATGACAGGTTTGGGTTGTATGGCACCACCCATCTGTTGTCCACTTTGTGTACCCCAATTTCAATAAAGCTGCCATCTCGGTTTTGATATTTTGGGTAACAGTTGACTTTGCTGTTGGTCTCCGCACATACTTTTTGTGTAAATAATTTTTTTGCATTTGCCCTTTTTCTTACACAGCACATTTGGCCAGATTGGTCCACTTGGGCCAGTTAACATACATAATTTTATTATTTTTATGTAGCCTAGGCTGGGCGTGAGTATTACGTTATTCCGCATAGACAATTTTGTCAGTCGTTTCATTCTCACTGACTTTGTCTTCTGGAGCTGTGAATAGCAATATGATCCCATGTGAGAGACCACGGGATTCGAGCTCAATAGCAAAATGTGCCCATGTGGTCGACAACGTGTTTGGAGCTCAATAGGTATATGTCTTCCTCAACAACAACATCGCAGAATGGTTCAAGACCATGGTTGGAGTACGACAAGGCTGCCTGCTCTCCCCCACCCTGGTCAATATCTTCCTAGAGAGAATTATGTCAGATGCTCTGGAAGCTCATGAAGAGACAGTCATCCTTGGTGATCGAAAAATCACCAACCTACGCTTTGCGGACGACATAGACGGATTGGCTGGGAACGAAGAAGAGCTAGCCAAACTGGTAAAGCGTCTCGACAAGACGTCGTCGTCCTACGGCATGCTAATCAGGGCCGAAAAGACAAAACTGATGACAAATAACACCACAGGCATCACCACTTAAATTAAGGTTCGGGGAGGAAAGACTAGAGACTTTCGGCCGCTTCAAATACCTAGGAGCAATAGTCTCAGAAGAAGGCTCCGAGCCCGAACTGATGTCCAGGATTTCTCTGACTACAATAGCACTAAAGAGGCTCAAGCAGAGGCGTAGCGAGGGGAGGGCAGGGGGGATAGATATCCCCGGGTGCCAGCTAGTAAGGAGCGCCAAAATGTGCTTTTATATTATTTTATTGATGAAAATAATGGGTTTGAGAGTTGAAAAAAAGAATAAGGGGCGCTTTAAAATGGATCTTGTCCCCGGGCGCGAATTTTGTCTTCGGGCGCCAAACACCCTCGCTACGCCTCTGGGCTCAAGAAAATATGGAATGACAAAAATATAGCCCCCAGCACCAAAGTCAGGCAGATGCGCTCATTAGTTCTCTCCATTTTCCAGTATGCCTGTGAATCCTGGACATTAACAGCAGATCTTGAAAGGAAAATAAAGGCGATGGAGATGAGATGCTTCAGAAGCATTTTTGGCATCAGCTATAGGGACCATATCTCCAAAGATACAGTGAAAGAAAGGGTTCGCCAGGCAATTGGGGAGTACGATGACCTATTGGTGACTGTGAAAAAACGCAAACTACAATGGTACGGCCACGTACCAAGGGAACAAGGGCTTGCCAAAGAAATATTGCAGGGCACCACAAGAGGAGGGAGAAGAAGAGGAAGACAAAGAAAAAAGATTGGAGGATAACATCAAAGAGTGGACAGGACTAACACTGGGTGGTGCTGTGCGTAGTGCAGAAGACAGAGACGAATGAAGGAGAATAGTCCACATGTGATCTGTGTCGCTTAACGGTCCAAGGACTAAGGGACATGATGATGATGATGATGAGCAATATGTGCCCATGTGGTAGACCACGGATTTGGAGTTCGTTCACATGGATCAGAGCACTATCATATCAAAATCTTTGGGGTTTGGTTAAGTCTTAAGCTAGCAATTTCAGTTCCAACTCAAACACTCTGGCTACTAACACACATACTCTGGTGACGTTATGAGATTAATCTCTTATGACCCCGCTATTACAGTGGCCACCAGCTCCATCTGCTGAGCTGAGCCACACAGCATTTTCCTCACGTTGGGCTCTAAACCCCCCTGGCTTCCCACGGGACAACTAGTGAGACACATTCGGTCAACAGGTGCGCTAGCAACTCCGGGACCAGGCTGCAATGCCGGCAGGTAGGGTCCTTGTTGTTATCTAGCTGCCGGAAGTATGTGCCTGTGGGAAAATGCTCGGAGCGCATCTGCGTCACTAAGCTCTGCTGTCTACGGTATAACCCCACCATGGGTCCTATCTGCTAGTAGTGGGAAAATTTGAAAAGATGCCTCTGGCAATCGTATTGTCTGCCAATTACCTTTATCGCTTATCCTGAAGTGATCTGCCAGCCAGTTCTTTATTCCCAAATAAGTTATTTGTGCTTCTGGCTGAGGCTAAGCAGCCCCGGTTTTTGCAGAGTCCAGAGTGTCCACTTTGTCATTTCCCCTAACTTTGACGTGACCTGGGATACATAGCACTGACACCTTTCTTCCTAGTTCACAGATCTTGCACAAGTCATCAATGATGACGTCATCTTGGTGATTTGTACCTGATGTCTTTCCCAAGATCTCATCGAGCCCCGCAAGCTCCGCCCCTTTCATCGTGTGATAGACTCTCTCTGAGGCCCTGTGTATAGCTCCACTCTCTCTGAGGCCTTATGTATAGCTCCACTCTCTCTGAGGCCCTGTGTGTAGCTCCACTCTCTCTGAGGCCCTGTGTATAGCTCCACTCTCTCTGAGGCCTTGTGTATAGCTCCACTCTCTCTGAGGCCCTGTGTATAGCTCCACTCTCTCTGAGGCCTTGTGTATAGCTCCACTCTCTCTGAGGCCCTGTGTGTAGCTCCACTCTCTCTGAGGCCCTGTGTATAGCTCCACTCTCTCTGAGGCCCTGTGTATAGCTCCACTCTCTCTGAGGCCCTGTGTATAGCCCCACTCTCTCTGAGGCCCTGTGTATAGCTCCACTCTCTCTGAGGCCCTGTGTATAGCTCCACTCTCTCTGAGGCCCTGTGTATAGCTTCAATCTCTCTAAGGCCCTGTGTATAGCCCAGCTCCACATCAGAGTTTGATGCATTAGTCCCACAGGACCCCGAGAGTTCTTCATTTGGTGGTCCCCCTGTCGGGTATAGTATGAGAGCACCATACCCAGCAGTTCTTTCTCTCAGATTGGCAGAGCTATCCGAAGATACTTTCAAGTGTATGTTAGCGAACATAGCCATGGCCTCAAGGGCAGCCTCTTTCTGAATATGTTCAGGGCTGCGCTACGTCTTTGCTGCATCGGTCAAGGCCACATGTATGGAGGGACGTGACCGACAAGCGCCTACAGTCGGCATAAGCCCCGTCACCGATCTGCAGGGGAGGAGCGGGTTTGAGCCCCCCCCCCCCCGGCTTAGAATTCAGTTCTTCGTATACTAGCCATTTAATTGAATCATGTCTAAGGTTTATTTTCTTACCTCATGTATGGAGGGACGTGACCGCCAAGCGCCTACAGTCGGCATAAGCCCCGTCACCGATCTGCAGGGGAGGAGCGGGTTTGAGCCCCCCCCCCCCGGCTTAGAATTCAGTTCTTCGTATACTAGCCATTTAATTGAATCATGTCTAAGGTTTATTTTCTTACCATCTCCAGTGGAGAAGTAACTTCTCTCCTTCGCCTTGGGAGACGGACTAGTGACGTGAGTTTTTTTTAGCTTCGGGTATTCTGCTCTACCTTACTGGTCGTTTGCGCCACGTAGAGGAACAACTCTTTGCTCAACCACCGAGGCGGAACTTTTACCGACTCTAGCTACTAAATCAGGCATGTCAGTCTCAATTCAAACCCTATTGCTACTAAATCAGGCATGTCAGTCTCAACTCAAACACTATTGCTTCTAAATCAGGCTGGTTGCATGGTTGCTGACCGGTAAGTAAGTGTTTCCCGATTCCCTCCATTTATCATTACATGTGAATGTTACAAACAAGTCAGGTTAGCCAAAATATTATGACCATGGACATAACATCTTGGCAATTTTGAGCCATACTTCTGGAACTTACTATGAAGGTTAAAGGCAATATAACTTTCTTTCCAGGCAATATGTTAACGTCCTCACAATTGTAGTTATTCACTAATCGTTGAAGGACACCGTAGTCTTCAGCTCTTATTGTGCTATGATTTATTTTGTTCAAAACTAATTGAAATGGTTTGCCTCGGTCTTGCAATAAGTGTCAACAATGAAATGCTGAGTCAGATTTGATGTGTTAAGGAGCTGGTTAAAGTTTCCATCGTGAATGGCCAAATGACATGAAATACAATTGAACCTAGGACACATTTTATTGACCAACAACTTTCTTTGGATCTGTGGTCGACCCTGAATACCCTTATGGAAAAAGCAAAGGGTAGTACATTGGGTCACAGAGTGTCACCAGGATGGATATATTTGGTAAAATTCCGCTATTCGGGCTTGCTTCTACTCTGCTATTGTCCGATGTTTTAATTTTCAGACTGTCATAATTGTAGGCTACTTGTTTAAGATAGGTAATATCACGACTGACTGGCTTAACTAACCTCTCGAAATTTTGTAAAATAAATACAGTTCGATTATTCACTCTTCCAAAGGAATTTAGACATTTTTTTATTCAGTCTAATGACGCCATATATTCATTTATATAGTCTAAAAGTAATTAAAGTGTCTTGAAATTCTGTAATAAATAAGTTGGAAAGTTATTTTTTTTAAAATATTAACTTCATATGAGAAATTGACAAGCACTAACTGTTACAGCGTCAAGACCAACAGCTCAACATATCACTAAAAGGACAAACAATAATTTAATGTAAAACCATTGAGACAATTGGACAGTGTTAGTTGTGTATTTTGAAGCTACACATTAATGTTTTATAATCCTTATTATCCTTGTTTAATATGTTTTTCACAGCTTTCACGTATTACAGCTAGGGAAACATGTGAGCCTGCTTTCACCTCTATTGAGAAACAAAGTATCGAGATCTACGAAGAGAAGTATAAAAATTACACGAAGAGAAGTGATCTTGGATGCCCTAAGCCACTGCTACACAAGAACACGAGCGTACAAGCCTTGCTGGAGACAATACCCTGTGGCGTCAGTGCTGCAGACCCTGATCGAATGATCATCGCTGGTGGCCCCGCGCCCGAAAAAGTATTTCCATGGCAGGTGGGTTTTGTCAGCCCTCGAGGTTCCTGTGGTGGGGTTCTCATTTCTAAATCTTGGGCACTTACAGCAGCACATTGCCCCGTGTGGGAACAAGCCACTGGCATCTTGGGATCTCTTCTTTTTGACTTCAAAACACACCAACCTCATAAACAAATGAGACGTGTGAAAGTCGCCGTGAAGCACGAAAACTTCAGTTTAAACCCCCTCACCTATGACGTAGCTCTTGTCAAATTTGATTCTCCTGTTGTCCTCGACGACTACGTCAGGCCCATCTGTCTACCCAAGAAGGGCGACGTCTTTGACGGCGTAAACTCTTGTTTCATCTCTGGCTGGGGCAGACTCTCAGAGTCACCGGGACCTAAGCCACCTCTTCAATTCGGAAGAACTTCAGTTATGCCGGAAAGTATTTGCATCTATACGCTCCGACTGTACGGACGTCACCTAAAATCGTGCGAACTTTGCAGTGACCTAGTCGGCTCTTTTGTAAGCCGGGGAGATTCAGGGGGGCCCTTGAGTTGCAAAGTTGGAGGGCGTTATTACGCTGCCGGTTTGGGCAGCTATGTCATCAAAATGGTCGGCATCGACATCGTTCTTTTCCCTAGTATTTTCTCCAAGGTGTCTGAGTTCATGGATTGGATATTCAAGACACTAGAGGAACATGGATTATAATTGTGATCAAAATATTTAACTGGTGAAATGGGTTGAAAAAATCTAGATAAATTTCATAACGCTAAGCGGGAGACATATCTATATATTATATACACATGTATATATATATAGAGAAATGAAGTGAGAAGGAGGCAGGAAAGGAGGGATGGATGGAGGTAAAGAAAGAGGGAATTAGAAGAGAGAGAAATAGAGAAATTAAGGGTTGTACTGGGGGAGGAAGCGAGAGGGATGGGCAGGGGATAAGGACAGACATGAAGGGGGCGATGGAGGAGGGAAGAGGAGGAGAAGGGAGTGAATGAGTTAGATAGATAGAGGGAAGGATAAATAATAATAATAATAATAAAGTTCATTTCAAAAACACGCTTCATCCCCATAGCTTCGAAGCGCGGTACAAAGTCAACAAAAAACAAATCTATAATTTACCACATTTAAAACAAACGCAACACTACAAAAACTAATTACAAGCATACAATGTCAAAGACTTTCTAGCCATTTCAACTCGGAGCAACACAGCCATTATGCATTAACTGGAAAATAAGGTAGACAATCATCCCAGGAGGTGTTTGCGAAATAGATGTGTCTTTAGATCGGTTTTAAAGGACTCCAGTGTCTGGTTGTTTCTGAGATCGACAGGAGGAAGAGGGAAGGACCGGGAGATGGAGAGAGGAAAGGAGAGAGGGAAAGAGAGAGAAAGATAGAGAGAGGGACGGGTATTTAGGGGAGGGGCAGAGAGTAAGAGGATGTGAGGGAGGGAGAGGGTCGGAGGGGTAGGATGGAGGGAGAGGAGGTAGGGAATTGTGGAAGGGAGGGGAAGGGATGGTGGAAAGGAGGGGAGGGAGAGGGAATGAGGGTGGGAGTGAAGGGAGATGGAGCGAAGGAGAAATACTAAAATATCTTTTGTTAATATATCTTGCTTATTTTGCAACACGTCAAATATTTTATTTTGTAACTATTAAGTTTCATTAATTTTTGTTAGCAAACGAAGATTCAATTATTTTGCTGATGTCTTCATTTGTGCTATCACGCAAAGATTATTGCAATGCTCTCATGGTGGGTCTTCAAGCTACGCTCCTGGATAAAATTCAAATAGCACAGAATAATGCGGCTCGCATTGTTCTCCGCAAACGCAAGTTCGACCATGCAAAAACACTTCTGAGAGAGTTGAACTGGCTGCCAGTCCGTGCTGGCATAGAGTACAAAATTGCAACTTTGTGCTACCGCTGTTTACATGACCTGGCGCCGTCCTATCTGAAAGAGCTGCTGACGCCTTATGTACCCACTTGACAAATCCGCTCATCCGATAGTGGCAAACTCTCGACACCACGTGTTCGCCTTGAGACTTACGGAAAGCGCACTTTCACATTTGCCGGCCGAACAATTTGGAACGCCCTTCCTGTCGATCACAGAAACAACCAGACACTGGAGTCCTTTAAAACATATCTATTTCGCGAATACCGTCTGGGATGATTGTCTACCATTTTTTCCAGTTAATGCATATTGTCTTGCTTAGGGCTGAAATGGATAGAATGACTTTGACTTGGTATGCTTGTAATTAGTTTTGTAGTGTTGCGCTTGTTTTAAATGTAGTAAATTATAGGTTTTTGACTTTGTACCGCGCTTCGAGCCTTTGGGGATGAAGCGTGTTTTTTAAATAAACTTTATTATCATTATTTATTATTATTTTTTTGCGCATTTACTATGATTCTATTTTCTTATTTTATATTTATTTAGGGAACTATTTGAAGCAAATAAGAAAGAAATGGATTATCAGTAGGACTTTTTTTATCTTTTAAATTTTTTGTTTGTTTTTGTTTGGTTATTGTGTTGTTTTTTGTTTGTTTGTTATTTGAATTTGTTTTTTAAATCGCATGAGTGCATGCCATTGTTCTTTGATTTTTTTTTTTTTTTTTTAAATTTCATTCAACGATTTCTTATAAATTTTATATAGATAATTATAACTTTAATAGTTTCCAGAATCTAATTTGACAAATATATTAACAGAAATTTATAATACTGGATAAGTTTGAATAAAAATGTGAGCGTTAGAGTAGAAGACGAACTCAAAACTTTTGGTGAATAAAACTTTTGTTAAAACCTTAAAGCAAAACTAAAACATACTAATTTCATAATGTAAGACAAGTGGAAAAAAAAATTGGATCCATTAATTACTGTCAGCCAGTGCCGTCGTATGACTTTAAGCCCCCCCCCCCCACAACCCTGCTATTTTTTCACTTTTTTGCCCCCCCCCCTCATTTGTATTCAAAGTTGATAGGTTATCTTTTGCCGCGTCACAACTTAAATTTCCGAGGCATCGTTATTTTTATTTACAGGCAGTACTAACACTTCTGACCTAAAGCTAATGACCTGAAACTATTGACCTAAAACTATTGACCTAAAACTAATGACCGAAAACTATAGCCACAAAACTATTGACTTTAAACTATTGACCTGAAAATATTGACCTAAAACTATGGACCTAAAGCTATTGACCGAAAACTATTGACCAATAAATATTGACCTAAAACTATTGACCTAAAACTATGGACCAAAAAACTATTGACCTGAAACTAATGACTGAAAACTATTGACCGAGAACTATTGACCTAAAACTAATGACCGAAAACTATAGACATAAAACTATTGACCTAAAACTATGGACCAAAAACTATTGACCTAAAACTAATGACCGAAAACTATAGACACAAAACTATTGACCTTAAACTATTGACCTGAAACTATTGACCTAAAACTATGGACCTAAAGCTATTGACCGAAAACTATTGACCAATAACTATTGACCTAAAATTATGGACCTAAAACTATTGACCTAAAACTATTGACCGAAAACTATTGACCGAGAACTATTGACCTAAAACTAATGACCGAAAACTATAGACATAAAACTATTGACCTTAAACTATTGACCTGAAACTATTGACCTAAAACTATTGACATGGGAAGCTGGTGTTGGTTTTGTTTCTGTACGCTTTTGCGGAAGATTGAAGTCCAGTCCTCAAGCGTGTGTTTGACTCAGTCTGACAACCAGGCCAAACAGCACCACAACAAATGCATTGCATATAGTATATCAAAGCAATATTTACATGTTTATAGTCCGGAAATGCCCTTAAATGGTGTACATATGCCATAGATAAAGGAATATATTGTAGAGAAGCCACTGATCATACATCTATATAAAGTAGCCATAGATCAACGCCATGGATACATCTATATAGTGTAGAGAAGCCTTAGATAAATTTATTTAGTGTAGAGAAGCAATAGATACTCATATAAGTGGATAGAAGACAGAGATGCATGTATATAGTGTAGAGAATACATACATACATGAATAGTGTATAGTTTAGAAATACCCTGACAAATATATAGTGTTGAGCCATTATAGAAAAATGTTAATAGTGTGGGGAATCCATCAATACATGTTTATAGCCTAGGAAAGCAATATATACAATAAACATATTTTATCTAATCAATTAGGCTATGCATATATATGGACTTAGTCTAATACAGGGTCTCAAACTCAAATTATCCGGGGGCCGCAGGAATTAGAGTCTGATTGAGACTGGGCCGCATCAAGTATTCCACAAAAAAGCGATTACAAATTCATTAAGTACAACTGTTACATTCTGCTCAAACTTTATTGTATTTTATGTATTGTATGGCATCTTTCCTTCTGCTGGAGACGATAGATTATCTTGCAGCTCTTGGTGTGGCTGGTGAGACCAATCCTCGAATGGCAGTCTGTGTTAAGTTTCCCACACAGGAATGTGGTGGAGCAGTATTTAACGGCCTTCCTCCTCGCTCTTTTTGCAGCTGTTTCCGCCCTGTTTTGCTCCTCGGCATGTAATGATCCTGCCTTCACGATGCCCCGCCATGAGGATCGATCCTCTGCCAGCTCCTCCCAGTTTGAGATGTTGATGTTGGCCGACTTCATGTCTCTTTTGCATATGTCTAAGTATCTCAGACGAGGCCGTCCAACTGACCTTTTCCCTGGGGCCAGCTCGCTGTATAGCACGTCCTTTGGTATGCGACCAGGTTGCATTCGCTTGTCGTGTCCAAGCCAGCGGAGGCGTCTTTGGATTAACATAGCTGGGACGCTACACATGTTTGTTTGGGACAGGACATCCGTGTTGGGGACTTTGTCTTGCCATTTAATGTCAAGGATGTGGCGCAGGCATCTGAGGTGGAAGCCATTGAGCCTTCTTCCGTGGTTAGAGTATGTGGTCCACGACTCGCACCCATACAGGATTGTGCTCAGTACGCAGGCCTGGTACACCTGCAGCTTAGTTCTTGTTGTGAGCGTGGCGTTTGACCAGACTCTTTTCTTCAGTCTGGCCATAACAGTTGCGGCCTTCCCTATCCTTCCACTTATCTCATCCTGCATTGAGAGGGTGCTCGATATGTTGGATCCCAGATATGTGAATCTGTCAACAGTATCCAAGTCGTAGTCGTCGATGGCGATAGTGGGGAGGGAGTCAGCGCCCTGTGCCATAATGTTAGTTTTCTTTAGGCTAATTGTCAGGCCAAACTCTTTGCAGGCAGAGGGTAGGCTAGATACGAAGCTCTGCAGGCCGTCTGCTGTGTGAAATACCAAAGCGGCACCGTCCACAAACAAGAACTCCTGCAGTAAGACCTTCGCCCAGGCTTTATCTACACTGGAGAGGACACTCCAACATCGCCGAATGGTGTGAACTTAACACGAGAAGCAGCAGTTTTTGGTTTTAAGCCATAGCTCAATTGGCGTAGAGCTAGGCGCCAGGGGTTGCTTCTGACGGTGGAAGAGATCGCCATGTCTCACTGGGTGCGTGGAGCTCAGAGGCACATCTCAACAAGCAGGCCACAAAAACATGCACCTAGAAATGAGAAAAGAAGACCCCAGCTCTTCGACTAGCAAGCTGGAACGTAAGGACTATGTGCCCGGGCATTACTGCCGACCTGCCGCTCATAAACGATGCAAGGAAGACAGCTATCATTGATATTGAGCTTAGCAGGCTAAACATTGATATTGCCTGTCTCCAGGAAACTAGGCTCCCCGAGTTTTGTACCATAAGAGAACACAACTACACTTTCTTCTGGCAGGGTGGACCAATGGACGCCCCAAGGCAATATGGGATTGGTTTTGCTATAAAAAACACACTCTGCTCCTCTATAGAACCACCGACAAAGTGTTCAAACTTTATAAATAACAAATAAAAACATGAAGGGTTCTCAAGAATTAGGCTTTAATTTTTTCCTCCTACTCATTGTTGCCAGAGACCTGGCAACTGGCAGCGCTTCTTCTTACACAGGTGAGCAACTTTCGCTTGAGTGAGGAAGAAACTGTGACCCTCAGTATAGCTTGAAGATGCTCATCACTAATTTTGGCCCTGAATTTGACTTGGTATGAAACCTTGTGTTTTGAAGTCTAAAAATTTATTCAAATTCTTCCTGTAGGTTGCAATGGCATCAGTATACTTACTACTAAGTTACTAATAAATGGTGTGCCCGAGTCCTTGAGTACTTTAGATGTTGGGAAATGACAGAGGTTTCTCTGAGAACCATGACATAAGTTTTTTGCAGAATGCCCTGACAATGTCTTAGGCAATACTGAAACGTTACCCCTGGTCTTGTAACTTTTGTTGAGCACATTCAGCCCCTGTGTAATGTCAACAAGACAATCCAAGTCGATGAGCCATTTGGGATCACATAGTACAGGAACGACTACCCCATCTTTCTCCATTTAGATTTTAAATGCTAAAACGTGTTCAAACAGTAGTGACCAAGCTGACAGGCTCAGAATTTCCCTCACTCTTTAACAATAGCGGATATTTTAATAGGGATTGTTTCATACTGTCTGATTGCTACGATTAACACAATTATGGTTGTGCATAACCCACTAACTGACTTTTTAAAACTTTTCTAAAAACCGCACTTTGGCCATGTTTGTCTCATAAAATGCTATAAAATATAAAAAAATTGTCCGATTTTAAAACGGTTCTTACCATTATAATCAACATACAAAAATATACAAATATAATAAAAATCACAATTAGAGTAGTCTGTAAGATTCGACTGAAACCGTCGTGGAGGGTCATAATTATGGATATGGCAATGGGTAAAATGAGCGGGCCGCATTAACACTAAACTTTGCTTTGATGTACAGAGCCACAAAGATCTCTTGCGGGCCGTAAATGGCCCACGGGCCGTGATTTTGAGACGCCTGGTCTATGATTCCACAAAGGTGTTAATTATAGCCCAGGGGATGATAAGAAGAATGTTTTTAATGTGGCGTCGGTGCTATACATCAGGATCATCGGATCGTTGGTGGTGGCACCTACATCAGAGCGTGCATTTTTATGGCAGGTGGCTCTTCTGGGCCATGGAAGTTACGGTGGTGGAGTCCTCATTTCTAATTCTTGGGTTCTGACGGACGCCTGCTTTTTTAAAATGTAAAATAAACTCGTAGCCGGTTAAGGATCTGTGCATTTTCTTACGTGTTAAGGATGACCCTTTCGCCGAAGAAAAAGAACCCTAACAACTTCGTTTCTGTCCATAAAACATTTAATTCACCCGAATCTGTTCGCGACATCGCGCTTGTAGAGTTAACGAGTGGACGACTTCAAAGACTTTGAACCTTGCTTTGCTTCTGGGTTTTGGGGCAAAATGTCTTAGGCAATACTGAAACGTTACCCCTTGGTCTTGTAACTTTTGTTAAGCACATTCAGGCCACCAAAGCCCCGAAACGCCTCAACATCAGTAAGCTGAAGATCCCTAATGTGAGACAAACCTTTGTTGACAACCTGGATGAACGCTTTGATACCATCACACTGGACAACCAGGACGCGGCAAAAGCGTGTACCACACTTCGTGAGACGGTGCATAGCACAGCCGCTAAGCGTCTCCGACCCTCTACCAGGAAACACAGGGATTGGTGTGACGAAAACAACACAGCGATCCAAATGCTACCTGAGCAAAAACGTCGGGCGAACAAGGCCCTCCATGATGACCCAATGTCAACAGCAAAGACAGCTGCACTGAGGAGTATCCGCAGAAAGGTCCAGATTCAACTGCGCCAGATGCAAGGCTCCTAATTGATGCGAAAGCTGATGAAATTCAGGGCTTTGCAGACATGAAAGGTGTGAAAACTTCTACCGTGGCCTCAGAGAAATCTATGGTGTTGCCACCTTATGCTTTGCCCCTCTCCTTAGTACAGTCAGTTCTACATTCAATGAGAAAATCTTATAAAGATGGGCGGATCAGTTTGATGTGTGCTCAATACGCCTTCCAACAATAATGATGAGACCATTGAAAGACAGCCACATTTCCCAACGAACAAGTCAATGGATCCTGCCCCAACTTTAATCGAGATACAGACAGCAATCCTCTAAATGTCCAATGGCAAAGTACCTGGCTCCGACATGATTCCTGCCAAAATCTTTAAAGAGGGTGAACCAGCGTAGACCGATAAGCTATTGCGTCTATTCCAGATCATCTGGCAGAAGGTAACTGAACCACAAGACCTCAAGGATGCCTCGATTATCCACCTATAAAAACACAAATGAAACCGCCATGCCTGCGACAATCACCGCGGAATTTCACTTCTGTCTATTGCAGGCAAGATCTTGGCCCGAGTCCTTCTGAACCGCCGGAATGCACATCTGGAGCTAGGTCTCCTACCCGAAAGTCAATGCGGTTTCCGCAAAAAAACGTGGAACTATCGATATTGTGTTCGCAGCTAGGCAGCTTCAAGAAAAATGCCAGGAGCAAAATATAGACCTATATTCCACATTTATAGACTTGAATAAGGCTTTTGACAGGGTCAATAGAGGCGGCCTGTGGAAAATCATGAAGAAGTACGGATGCCCAGACAAGTTCACCAACATCATCCGTCAGCTGCATGATTTTATGATGGCCCGAGTGCAGGGCAACGGTCAGTCATCTCAACCATTCCCGTAACAAACGGTGTGGAGTAGGGATGTGCCCTTGCTTCCACACTCAGCAGTACTATATTTTCTGCAATGCTGTTTGATGCGTTCAAGGACTCCACCATGGGCTTGTCAATCTGGTTTCGCACTGATGGATCAGTCCTCAACCTTAAGCAGCTTTAAGCTAAAACCAAATTCAAACATAACACCATCAACGAGCTTCTGTTTGCGTGTGATTGTGCCCTCAACGCTGCCTCAGAAGCCGTCATGAACACAGCGTTGATGTCTTCTCTGAGGCCTGCAATAACTTTGGCCTCACAATCAACACAAAGAAGACTGGGGTGATGTATCTGCCAGCGCCAAGTAAGCCCTGCGTTAAACCCAACATCATCAGCGGACAGCGTTTCCACGCGGTGGATAAATTTATTTACTTGGGCACCACCTTCTCCAGATCTGTCGTCATGGGTGATGAAATGAATGACAGACTCGGAAAAGCTAGTGCCATATTTGGCAGGCTCCGCAGCTTGGTTTGGGACAGGAGAGGTATCAGACGAGAAACAAAGATCAAGGTCTATAGCGCAGCAGTCCTCACGACATTGCTCTGTGGATGTGAAACATGGACAGTCTACCAGTGTCACGCCAAGAAACCGAATCATTTTCACACAAACTGCATCAGGAAACTCCTCGAGATCAGGTGGCAAGACAAAGTCCCTGACACAGATGTCCTCGCTAGAGCGAACTTGCCTAGTATCTTCACCACCCTGATGCATTCTCAACTCCGTTGGATAGGACACGTAGCCCGTATAGAAAACCACAGATTTCCAAAAAATATATTCTTCGGAGAACTCACGATACGTAAAGCACACCAAGGGGGTCAAAAAAGCGTTACAAAGACTCACTGAATGCGGCACTAAAAGCCTTCAGCATCAACCCTACTCAATGGGTGCAGACAGCTCAGGACAGAGCCAGCTGGAGAGCAGCTGTCAAGAAGGGGGCTAAATCCCATGGAGCTAATAGGATAACCAAGCTGAGATGCGCAGGATTGCCCGAAAGAGCAACATTAGGTCACCGCCTGCAGCAATTACAGAACGGATCAGTTTACCAAGCCACCTATGAGCTTACCGTAACCCACCCTCCCCCCAGCCGGATGACTCGATGGTCCAAGTCGATTTCGACGGACGAACAGCAACAACAACAATAGATTTCCGCTATTAAATGACAAACACTACTGTAATAAAATTTAAAAAAAGTGTGTTCCATCTGCCAACCTATCACCGGAAACATTCACTGGCAAGATTGGCCAAGATTAGTAGGCTATGTTGCCGAATGCGATTACTAGAATGACATATTGCTTCGCTATTACACGCATCCTTCACTTATAACCTTAGCACTGTTGTATTATAACTTTGCACTTTGTGTGACCATACCATCTAATAAAGTTACTTTACAAAACATGACCTGAAGTAACGCACATTTAAGAATCCCAATTTTTGATACACCCTTATCCCCCATGATACGTCGCTGCACACTTCTTATTTCACACCCATGAACTCTAGTAAGATTCTTATGTCCCAACCACTTTTAAACCGAATATTTTTTACACTGTATTTAAATTGAGACGACTTCATTTTCCGAAAAGAAAAAAAAGTACGCACCAAACCCATTTGCGTTATTAAAATTTTTTTTTAGCGTAGTTATCGGGAATTATATTTTGCGCGCTATCTGGAAATAGAAACAGTCACACAATTATCGTACGATTTATAAAATACTTTTTTCTTAACAGGAAATGACCAGTTTTTCCACCCTTCAAATGAATAATTCCAAGGATACGTGGAAAGTTGTGTTCAAAGTCGTCTGCTTTCTCTGGACCAGAAGCTTGGAACATTTAAATATTAAGGAGTTGAAATAAAACAATGATAGCTGTGTACTCATGAACTAAAGGATGTTTTGTAATATGACATAATCCAAAGGAAGATCCATATATCATCCATGTTCATTATTTCATATATCTTTCTACTTGGGGTAAGCTTAAATATTTGTGAAGTTTCACTAAATTCATTTATGATTCAATATATATAAGAATCGAAGATGAAATTTCTTAAACTTTATTTTTCGTACAATTATTGACAAGATCCCCGGATGTAACTACATTACAAACAAATACGTTTCCCAGCTATATCTTTTAGTCTTTTAGTATGAACCACAATTACTAGCTCCTTAATCACTAGCAGCTATTAAAATAATTTACATGGCATACTGAAAGTACAAAGTTTTGATATCACATTTTTGGTCCTAAACCACACCACCTTTGATGGTACAAAGTCATACCATATATGTTGGGGTAAATTCATGAAATATACGTTGATGCAAATATATAACACATAGTTTAATGCAAAACCATACCACAAATGTCAATGCAAAGGTATAAAACATATATTAGTGAAAAGCAATACCACATATGCGGCTAAGAGTTCATTATAAATTGTACCCATTTACTTCAGTTGCTGTGGGGAATTGACACTTTATCCCAGATAATGAATTTGGACTTTTTCAGTTTATGTGTCATATTGACCCCATGTCGAGCATTGCAGGTTGATATTTCGTTCATGGAGTAGGCAACTTGAAACGACTGTGGGAAGGTCTATCCCCTTCGAGCAAATTTGCTGCCATGCCTATACTTCCATATTGCAAGATTAATCCACTTTTGCTGGGCTCTTAGTGAATGCTTACATTGTAAAGGAAAGTTTTAACACTTCCGCGCTGTCCAAAAAACAACAAATAGACGTGTGGGTAATTAAGGGGTTTCAATCCCTAATTTTGCCAAAAGCTCTCAATTGCTCTAGGTTATATATTTAAAAATTTTCTTCGAACGTCGTTTTTTCGGCAATTAGACGCTAATATTTTTCAGAATAGAATGGCCCGTCATAATTGCCGTCTGAAAGTTCAAGGTCAAAATCTGCCAATGACTTTCAATCTGCTCGAATGATATATCCCATTCGTTTAAATGTCATATAGAGAGCTTTTTCTCTACCAGGAAAGTGTGTCTGATAGCCTTCCATAAGATTGTCCTTGTGGCTGTCAAATAATGCTGCCGCATCCGACAGTTATCACGTGATCAAAATAAATAAAAACGACTGTCTAAGTTGTACAGAAATTTAATGGGTTAAACCTTTAGTACGCAAGCACCGACCATTCTCAATCATCATCAGTTAATCCCCTTGCAATCCATGGTTCTTGCAAAGTTTAAAATGGGATAGTGGCTCTTCCGAGCGTCCTTGGGTCATCCAAAGATGTTGCTCCTCTAAAATTGAGAGGGAGAATTCGGAGGAACCATTTATCTCTATCCGTGTGACTTCACCATTTAAACATTCTGCCATTTGAAGATTTATGTCGTCTGAGATGAATTTTAAATTTTGAATTTTTGTCATCCCAGGTGTAGTGTTATCTCAGGTATAGTGTCATTCCAGGTATATAGTGTTTAAAGGTAAATGTATCAATACTCTCGAGCATTAGGGTCTGCCTGATGACGTTTAAACCAAGACAGAAGTTTGGAACTGGTGGGTTTTCGCAATACAGCTTCAGCTTACTTGCCTGGTAAAATAACATATTGTTTGTCCATAAATGTGGACATATAAAACTTGTTCATGATCAGTTTGGTGGTACACTTTGTATTCTCTGAGCCTCCGCCATGCTTCAGGTGCATGTTCACATTGGATTCCAAGTAATTTTTTATTTCGTACCATTCACTAGGGGCTTCCTGGCCTCTGGGAACAGTAAGGCTTTCAATAGTGTAAAGTCATGCCGCTTGCAAACGTATTTAAAGAAGTATTTTTAACGCTTTAATTGAGCTACACTTCTCTTCATAAATCTTGGCGTTGTATTTCAGTCAGGTATGAAACAGTACGGCAAAACTCATCTGTTGTCAACTTTGTTTCCCCCAATTTGAATAAAACTACCATCATCTCGGTTTTGATATTTTGTTTAAAAATTGACTGTTGGTCTCAGCCCATATATCTTTTTCTGAATTATTTATTTCTTTTTCAGTTTTTCATAAATGGCGCATTTGGCTTGAATGGTCCACGTTGGCCAGTTATCATACATGATTTTATGATTTCAGGTAGCCTAGGCTGGGCGTGTTTGTCACGCAGTACCGCATAGACAATTTTCTCAGTTGTTTCATTCTCACAGACTTTGTCTTATTGGGACATAAATAGCAATATGTTTCTATGTGGTAGAACACGGAATTGGAGCTCAATCACCATATGTACCAATGTGATGGACCACGGGTCTGGAGCTCAATAGCAATGTTTTCCCATGTGATAGAACACGGGCTCGGAGCTCAATAGCAACATGTTCCCATGTGGTAGACCACGGGTCCGGAGCTAAATAGCAGTATTTTACCGTGTGATAGACCAAAAGTTTTGAAGCTTAATAGCAATATATGCCCATATTGTAGACCACGGGATTGGAACTCAATAGCAATATGTGCCCATGTGGAAGACCCCGGCATTGGAGCTCAATATCAATATGTGCCAATGTGATGAAATACGGCATTGGAGCGTAATAGCAATATGTGCCCATATGGTAGACCACGGGATTGGAGCTCAATAGAAATATGTGACCAAATGGTAGACAACGGGATTGGAACTCAATAGAAATATGTCACCAAATGGTAGACCACGGGATTGGAACTCAATAGAAATATGTGCCCATGTAGTAGATCACGGTTTTGGAGCTCGTTCACGTGGAGCAAAGCATTATAATGTCCAAAACTTTGGTGTTTGGTTAGGTCTTCAGGTAGCAATTTAAGTTTCAACTCAAACACTCTTGGTGCTAAATCAGGATGGTCACATGGTTGCCTTCCGGGACGTAAGTTTTTCCTGATTTCCCCTCCATTTAGCAGTACACGTGAATGTTACACGTGAGGTTTACCATATTTCCGTACCATGGATGTAACATCTTGGTAATTTTGAGCCACAACTCTAGGAATCCCTATGAAGGCTGGAGGCAATTTAACTTTCTTTCAAGACAATATGTTACCGTCCTAACAATTGTAGTTATTCGCAAATCGTTGAAGGACACCGTACTCTTCAGCTCTTATTGTGCTATGATTTATTTTGTTCAAATCTAATTGAAATGGTTTGCCTCGGTCTTGCAATAAGCGTCAACAATGAAATGCTGAGTCAGCTGTGATGTGTTAAGGAGCTGGTTAATGTTTCCATCGTGAATGGCAAAATGACATGAAATACAATTGAACCTGGGACACATTTTATTGACCAACAACTTTCTTTGGATCTATGGTCGACCCTGAATACACTGGGAAAATCAAAGGGTAGTACATTGGGTCACAGAGTGTAACCAGAATGAATATATTTGTTAAAATTCCGCTATTGGGATTAATTGTAACATCTCAAATATCCTGGGTTGCACCATCTGCTTCGTGAAATACGGCATCAATATCTATTCTGGCTTTGGGAGAGTTGGTTCTGCCGGGGTTCGCACTATTTATTGTTTCACTCAAGAATGTCATGCAATATCCTATTGGCTTTTGGGTTTACTGATTCGCCTTTTGCTTAGCATTTCGCCGTGTTCAAATATGAGCATATGATGCCTAGAAAAGTCAATAATATAAACTACATAGCAAAAGCAACATAATTAATCTCTGCACCAAATACACTCTCTAAAAATATTAACACCAATCTATACTGGTAACAGACACACTAGCTACCGGTAACGGACACACTATCTACCGGTAACGAACACACTACCTGCCGGTAAAAGGACACTCCACTACCGGTAACGGACACACTACCTGCCGGTAAAGGACACACCACCAACCGGTAACAGCCACACTACCTGCCGGTAAAGGACACTCCACCTACCGGTAACGGACACACTAACTACCGGTAACGGACACACGACTTACCGGTAACGGACACTCCACCTAACGGTAACGGACACACTACCTACAGGTAATGGACACACTGCCTACAGGTAACAGACACACTACCTACCGGTAACGGACATACTGACTACCGGTAACGGACACACTACCTACCTGTAAAGGACACTCAACCTAACGGTAACGTACACACTCTACCGGTAATGGACACACTCCCTACTGGTAACGGACACACTACCTACCGGTAACTGAAACTCCACCTACCAGTAACGGACACAATATATACGGTAACGGAATACTGCCTACCAGTAACGGACACACTACCTACCGGTAATGGACACTATACCTACCGGTAACGGACACACTACTTACCGGTAACGGACACACTGCCTACCTGTAACGGACACTCCACCTACCGGTAACGGACATACTACCTAACGGTAACGGACACACTACCTACCGGTAACTGAAACTCCACCTACCAGTAACGGACACAATATATACGGTAACGGAATACTGCCTACCAGTAACGGACACACTACCTACCGGTAATGGACACTATACCTACAGGTAACGGACACACTACTTACCGGTAACGGACACACTGCCTAACTGTAACGGACACTCCACCTACCGGTAACGGACATACTACCTAACGGTAACGGACACTCTACCTACCGGTAACGGACACACCACTTACCGGTAACGGACACACTGCCTAATGTAACGGACACACTACCTACCGGTAACGGACACACTGCCTAACGGTAATGGACACACTACCTACCGGTAACGGACACACTGCCTAATGGTAACGGACACACTATCTACTGATAACGGACACACTGCCTATCGGTAACGGACACACTTCCTACCGGTAACGGACACACTACCTACCGGTAACGGAAACACTGCCTAATGGTAACGGACACACTACCTACCGGTAACGGATACACTGCCTACCGGTAACGGACACACTGCCTAACGGTAACGAACACACTACCTACTGGTAACGGACACACTACCTACCGGTAACGGACACACTGCCTAACGGTAACGGAAACACTACCTACCGGTAACGGACACACTACCTACTGCGTTACATATTATACATAACCAAAAATTCCACCCACTTAAAGTACAACCCGGGGTGGACGCCCCTACCAGTTGCGCCATTTTTTTAGATTTTTAAAAATGTTATTTTGCTTTTACTCTTCCAGTGTCCGATATTTATATTTTGAGACGGTCATAATGGTAGGCTTCATGTTTAACATTGAATATATCACGACTGCCTGGCTTAACTCTCTTCTCGAAATTTTGTAAAACAAATACAAATTGATTATTCACTCTTCCACACGAATTTATACTTATTTTACCTACAGTCAAGTGACGCCATTTATTCATTTATATAGTTTAAAAGTAATTAAAGAGTCACGGAATTCTTTAATCGATAAATAACTTGGAAAATTAAAATTAAAAAAATAAAACTTCATGTGAAAAATTTACAAGCACTAAACTCTTACAGCCTTAAGACCAACAGCTCCACATATCTCTAAAAGGACAAACAAAAATGTAATGTAAAACCTTTGAGACAATCGGACAGTGTTATTTGTGTTATGTGTATTGTGTAAGCTACACATCATTTTTTACTCATTCTTATCCTTATTTAATGTCTTATTTTTTTACAGCTTTCACATATTGCAGCTAATCAAACGTGCACACCTGCTTTCATTTCTATTAAAAATCAAAGTATCGAGATCTATGAAGAGAATTATAAAAATTACACGAAGAGAAGTGATCTTGGAAGCCCCGAGCCCCTGTTACACCAGAACTTGAGCGTACAAGCCTTCCTGGAGACAACACCCTGTGGCGTCAGTGCCAGAGATCCTGATCAAATGATCATCGCTGGTGGCCCCGCGCCCGAAAAATTATTTCCATGGCAGGTGGGCTTAGTCAGCCCTCGAGGTTTATGTGGTGGGGTCCTAATTTCTAGTTCTTGGGCACTGACTGCAGCCCATTGCCCCGTGGGGGAAAACACCACTGGCATCTTGGGATCTGTTCTGTTACATACACGCCATCCTCGTAAACAAATAAGACGTGTGAAAATCGCCGTGCGGCACGAAAACTTCAGTTTAAAATCCCTTCTCAATGACGTAGCTCTCGTCAAATTTGATTCACCGGTTGTCCTCAACGACTACGTCAGGCCCATCTGTCTACCCAAGAAGGGGGACGTCTTTGACGGCGTGAACGCTTGTTTCATCTCTGGCTGGGGCAGACTCTCAAAGTCACCGGGACCTAAGCCGCCTCTTCAATTCGGCAGAACTTCAGTTATGCCGGAAAGTATTTGCTTCTATACGCTCCGACTGTACGGACGGCACCTGAAAAAGGGCGAACTTTGCAGTGACCTAGCCGGCTCTTTTGTGGGCCGGGGAGACTCAGGGGGGCCCTTGAGTTGCAAAGTTGGAGGGCGTTATTACGCTGCCGGTTTGGCCAGCTATACAATTAAACCGCCCCGCAGAGACATAACGTTTCTTCCTGAGATGTTCTCCAAGGTGTCTGAGTTCATAGATTGGATATTAAAGACAATAGAGGAACATGGGTTATAATTGTGATCAAAATATTTCGGCAGTGTCTACACGTCCGGCGCGCCGGACGTATATCTCCCGCACTATTTGTCCGGCGACCACGTCACATGACCGCCGGATGAATACTTAATCGAGATATTCGTCCGGCGACCAGGTCACATGACCGCCGTAACAAAGTGGCGAGAGATATTTTGTCCATCAGCCTTATCACGTGACCGCGAATGATTCAAAACTATTGTTAATTTTAAAATCTATTTCTCTACCAAGTAATGTACATCTTGAATGCACATAATAGTAAAAAAAATGAAGTGAAAGTGGCTTGTAAACATTTTTGTTTACTTTGCCATTTGAGTTTGTGTACCAGTAATCCACAAAATAAATTAGGGGCAGTATGGAGTGGGCAACCAATCAAAGTCAACGATTTCATTTGAAATTGCTACAAAATATTTAAAAACTTCTCATGAAACAACTGTTGCTGGTGAACATGATCATATAATAGAAAATATTTTTAATTGAAACGGGAAGAAAAAAAACGATCCTATCCCCGGTACTGATCCTCCAATCATAAATATCGTCAAACGACCACTCTAGCAGTAGACCACACAAATCTACTACATTGAATTTCGTTCGAAATTATACAAACTACTAGCCGTCCGGCGGTCACGTGACATGCCGCCGGACGTATATCTTGCGCACTATTTGTCCGGCGCGCCGGACGTGTAGACACTTCGAAATATTTAACTGGTGAAATGGTTTGAAAAAATTGAGATCAATTTCATAACACTAAGCGGAAGACATATTTATATATTATATACACATATATATATTTATATATATATATTTATATATAAAGAGAAATTAAGTGAGAAGGAGGCAGGAAAGAAGGGATGGAAGGAAGGAGAGAATTAGGGGAGAGAGTAATCAAGAAAGTGAGGGTTGCACTAGGGGGGAGGAAGGTAGAAGGATGGGAAGGGGAGAGGGACAGACATGGAGGGGGCGAGGGAGAAGGGAAGTGCAGGAGAAGGGTCTTAAGGAAGGAGAGAAATAGAAAAAGGGATGGATAGGGGAGTAAGAGAGATGGACAGGGAGAAATGGAAGGAGAGAGGTAGGGAGAGGGAGTGGAGAACAGGGATAGGGAGGGATGGGGATGGAAGGGAGGGGAGAGGGTAAGATGAGGCAAGGGAGGAGAGGTGAGGCAGGGAACGCGAGGGAGGGAAGGGTCGGATGGGTGGTATGGAGGAAATGGGGACAGAGGCGTAGCCCTGGGACAAGATTCGCGCCAGGGGACAAGATCCATTTTAAAGCGCCCCTTTTTCTTTTTTTCAGCTCTCAAACCCACTCCTTTCATCAATAAAATAATATCAAAGCACATTTTGGCGCCCCTAACTAGCTTGCGCCCGGGGACATCTGTCCCACCTGCCCCCCCCCCCTCTGAAGGGAGAGGTAGGGATTTGAGGAAGGGAGGGGGAAGGGATGATGGAAAGGATGGGGAGGGAGAGGGCAAAAGGGAGGGGAGGGAGATTGAAAAAAAAAGAAAGAGAGAGAGGGAGACTAAAATATCTTTTGGTAAATATATCTTGCTTTGCAACACATCAAATACTTTCATTTGTTATCTATTAAGTTTCATCAATCTTTGGTTAGCAACCAAAGAATCAATTTAATTTTTTGTTGATATACTCTACCATTTTTAAAATTTTATATTTCTTTAGTAAATTCTTTGAAGCAAATAAAGAAAGAAATGTATTATCAGTAGGATTTTTTTTTCTTTCTTTCATTTACTTGCAGATCATTGTTCTTTGCATTTATTTTTTAAATTGCATCAATGGATCTCGTTATTCTTTGCATTTGTTTTTTCTTTTTTTTTTCTTTTTAAATTTCATTTCAAAGATAACTTTCAAATTGTAGACGATAATTATAACTTTAATAGTTCCAGTACCAAAATGGACACATATATTACCAGAAATGAATAATATTCGATAAGTCTGAATACAAATCTGAGCTCTAGAGTTGAAGCACGAGTTGACATCAAATGTTTTGGTAATTGCAAATTTTTTTTAATACCTGAAAGTTTAAAGTTAAACTAAAATATTCTAATTTCATAATGCAAGTGGAACAAAAAATAATTAAGATAATTTAATTACTGACAGCCAGGGTGGTCGCATGACTTTAAGCCCCCTGCTATTTTTCAGTTTTGTTCCCCCTTGCATTCAATGCTGGTAGTTTATTTTTTGCCACCTCACAACTTTGAGCTCCTTTTAATTTCCGATGCATCGTTCTTTTAATAGTTAGTCTTAAAACTATTGACCTAAAACTATTGACCTAAAATTATGGACCTGGGGTGCTCGTGTTTGTTTTGCTTTTGTAGGCTTTGGCTGAAGATTTGAACGGTGATTGCCCTCAGTCAGACTACTAGGCCACCAAGCACAAAAACAGATAGTCTAGCGAAGCAATATATACTTGTTTATAGTCTAGAGAAGCCCTTGAATGATGTACAGAAACCATAGATAAACGAATATATTGTAGCGAAGCCTCGGTTACATCTATATAGTCTAGAGAAGCCCTTGAATGATGTACAGAAACCATAGATAAACGAATATATTGTAGCGAAGCCTCGGTTACATCTATATAGTTTAGAGAAGCCTAAGATAAATTTATTTAATGCAGAAAAGCAATAGATTATTGTATAAAGTGGAGAGAAGCCATAGGTACATGCACATAGTGTGGAGAAGACACACATACATGTGTAGTGTAGAAATCCAATGACACATATAGAGTGTAGACACTTTATGGCAAAATTTAAAGAGTGCAGGGAATCTATAAATAGATGTTTATACTGCAGTAAAGCCATAGATACAATAAAAAAATTAACGTAGACATTAAGTTATGTATATTATCCAGTAAGGACATATATATATGTATATAGTCTTAAGAATCCATATAAAGGCGTTAATAAAGCATATGCGACGATAAGGAGTGTGTTTTTAATTCCTAGTAAAATATTAGTCTCTAAATCATTAGTATTCAGAGATTTTATTTTTTTCCGCCGACGGTGAAAACATTCTCTGAGACATTTTTATGAGATGCAAAACATTGAGATCTATCAAGATATTTTATTTTATGTGAATAAATAAACTTGCCTCCTCAGAGCCCCAGTTACCCCAGAGCCCCAGTTATCCAAGACACCCTGTTAACTCAGTGCTCCAGTTACACCAGGGCCACTGTGACCCCAGAGCTCCAGTTAAGCGAGGACACACGTCCCCAAGCTTTGCCGGATGCTATACCATATGGCGTCTGTGCTATAGATCTGGATCAACAGATCGTTGGTGGTGGCACCTACACCAGAGCGAGCATTTTTATGCCAGGCGGTTCTTCTGGGCTATGGAGGTTACGGTGGTGGAGTTCTCATTTATAATTCTTGGGTTCTGACGGACGCCTGCTTTTTAAGCCAGATAATTTCGTAGCCTGTTAAGGATCTGTTCCTCTTCTTGGTGATGAGGATAACCCTTTCGTCGAAGAAACCCCCCCCCCCCCAAAAAAAAAAAAAAAAAAAAAAAAAAAAAAAACAACAAAAACAACAAACAGCTTCGTTGCTGTCCATAAGAACTTCAATTCATCCGAATCTGTTCACAAAATCGCTCTTGTAGACTTCACGAGTCCAGCTGTCGATAACGACTAGGTCATACTGATTTGCCTGCCCTGAACAAAAGTGGATGACTTAAATGACGCTGACCAGGCGGCTTTGCTTCTGGGTTTGGGGGAAATCCCACCAGACGTCAAAAAATTCTTCCAGCAGAGAGATTTAGTCATGCCTCTGAACATCTGCATGTTTATGTGGATATTGAACTTTGTACTGATGGATGGGAATCAGATTTTGCAGTGACGAGGCCGGTCCAAAGGCATCTGTGGGACATTCAGGGGGGCCTTTAGGCATCTGTAGGACATTCAGGGGGACCTTTAGGCATCTGTAGGACATTAAGGGGATCTTTAGGCATCTGTAGGACATTCAGGGGGACCTTTAGGCATCTGTAGGACATTCAGGGGGGCCTTCAGGCAACTGTAGGACAGTAAGGGGGAACAAGTTCCGTATTACGTTGCCGGCCTGAATAGTTCCCGAAGCAAAAGTAGTTCATGTAACAACAATGTTATGTCCCGACCTAGTCACGTGAGTATATGTGATTTCGAGGATTGGATTTGGAAGATAACACAGGAACATGGATTATAATAGAGGATAAGAATGAGCTGTACTGAAATAACGCCCAAGGGGAGATTCGATTTAAGTACGTTCGGATTCCTAAAAAAACAATCATAGTTATTTTCTATTATTTTACGGAAATCGAATAAATTTAAATGTGCAAAAAATGCTTTAAATCCGCTTTTATTTTAGTAAAAGTTAAAGTATTATTATTATCATTACAAATTACAAATACATTTAGAGTATCAAACAAGAAATTATTTTAAGCATGTTATCAGCATGTAAAAGTTATGAAAAGAAATATCAACTAAAATTTTATGTTCTAAGAATTGTATCTTAATAACATTTTGCGGAAAAAATCCAAACAACTGTTTAGCATAATGCGTATTTCAGTGCGTAGTTAATATTGCGAAATAAAAATTAAATTCATTTGATCTAAATAATTACACAAATGACGTCATAGCGCGATTGCCTATTTTAGCCATAGCTCCAAGTTTCTTTGATTTGATAACCGCGCGTAACAAAATTGATAATATATTTTCTCTTTGTTAAAAGTAAAATTAATAGAGATGGCTTTTTAAATAGATAACATTTTATCAAATTTAAAACACCATAACTTTGTATTTTTAACATATTAATACTTTTTTTATTTTTTAATCTTTCTAAAAAACTTTTATTAAAGTTATAAAGTATTAAAAATCTTAACCTTTCCATATACTTTTAATTTGAAAATGCCGTTTAATGCCATCAGTGCAGCGAAACTACATATCCAAATGCATTCACTAATGCACTTATCACTCATCCAAATAAGAACAAAGCATGTAAAAAAATGGCAAAA